GCTGCCTCCTGCACGCCCCCTGCTGCTGATCGAGCTGGAAACCCAGGTGTGCGCCCTGGCCACGAATGGAACCTGCGACCTCTCAGCGCAGGGAATGATGCCAACCAGCTGAGCCACAAGAGCCAGGGCCCCACTGCTTTTTTTAAAAAGATTTTTATTGATTTTTAGAGAGAGAGAGGCAAAATCATCCTGTTTTATTGATTTCTGGGGAGAGGGAGAGAGAAATATCACTGTGACCCACTGGTTTTACCCAGCTTTTGGAAGGGTGGTTTCACCCCCACTGCTCTCCCCTAGGGCAAGCTCTGCTTCCACCACACCAGACTAGTTATCAGAATGAAATGGTGATGCCCCAAGGCACACACATCCTGGAGATCCTTTTGACAAGGCTGTTCTCATCAATGAATGCCCTGACTTCACTAGATGTGATCCTTCACAATTTCCTGATCACCTCTTAACATTTCTCAGTTTTGTGCTGATGAAAGGCTCTGCCTGCGAGCTCACAAAGTACATTCTCTCATTGTTTATGGTCACAGTCCTCAACCACTCTGTGATCATTTCTGTGGTTTTCCTTACTTTAAGCCAAGGTTTCTCAACCTTGGCGAGCTTGGCATTAGAGGCCAGAGAATTCTTTGCTGTGGGAAGCTGACCTACACATTGTAGGCTGTTTAGCAGCATCCTTGGCCCCTACCCAACAGATGCCAGTGGCACCAAAATGCCAGTTGTGGCAATCAAAATAGATCCATATGTTGACAAATGTCCCTGGAGAGGCAAAATCATCCCGTTAAGAATCACTGCTCCAAGGCTCAAGGTAGAGCTTGCCTAACGACCACCGGGATGGCTGGGCAGTCCCTCTCCCCCGTTTCTGGTCCTGTAAGCGAGGGCAGTGCCCACAAAGTGCATCTGTAAGGGCTCCCCAGTGATACTGAGGCTTCTGCTTACGCTGCTGCTCTGGGAACAGCTTTGGGAACCACTGCTCTAAGGCCCTGGCTGCCACTGGAATCATCTGAGCTCTCAACCATTTCCCATGCAGTCAGGATCTCCAGAAATGTGGTGCAGACAGCAGTGTGTAAAAGACCCCTGGCGACTCTAAAATGGGTCGAAAGTCACTTGCTTAAGATTTCAAACTTTCCAGAACCCCAGACTCAAGACTCCGAGATAAAATTCATCACAATCGATGTACATGCCATTTTTTAAAGTTTTTTTAAATATATATGTATATATATTTACATATATATGTATGTGTGTATATGTGTGTGTGTGTATATTAGATTTCAGACAGAAGAAGTGAGAGGGAGAGAGAAATAGAAACAGCGATGAGAGAGAAACTTTGATTGGCTGCCTCCGGCACGGCCCCTACTGGAGATGTGCCCTGACCAAAAATCGAACTGGTGACACCGACTGGGCTATATTTGCCATTTTTATATTACTTGAAGATTCTTCCCTAATATAACCCGAGCATAGAAATTCTGGAGCAAACAAAACCCCAAATTATGCAGATTGGAGTTTTCACCTCTACTTTTTCAAAACCCTTTGGCTGAAACCACCAGAAATTCCCGTCCTACTCTTGAGTAAATTTAAGGCATGAAAACAATTTGATATTATGGTAAAACTAAGAAGTTAGAGTCCTTTCTTCCTATTTTATTACTTTCCTATTACCTAAAAGTGAGATAGCATCTTGTGATAAAAGAATGCAAGCTTTACCTGCAAAAAATGGCCCCGTCTCTTTCTTTTTTTCAAATGATGTGTCTTCAGGAGCCTTGAGGGGAATCACTGCAAGACAGAAACGAGAGCACAGCGTGAAGCACAGCAGCTGGGGCCTGGCGGGCACCGCAGTCCCAAACAATGCCACATGGCACCCAGCACTTTTACAAAGTAATCTTCACTTTTGCAAAACCACACTTAACTGTCACAACTCACAGGCCACAGAGAGGGGCACTGACTCACACATAACAGCTGAAAGGCTTGGGGCACCGGCAAGGAAAATTAAGATGTCCATTTAAAAGCCAGTATATGGGAAAGTGGGCACACGGTTCAGCAGAAGTCCCGCTCGTCCCATATTCTCGCAAAACAGAGTTCCCCAGTGGGAATTCCAAGAACCAAAACATTATTTATTTTACCACTTGGTATGCCAAGGTTGAGAAGCCTGAGGTCATCTGATGACTCAGGATCTGAGCCCTGAGCACCGTTCTCCGTGCCAGGCAGCCCGCAGAGCAGCAGGCATCTGATTCTGAGATCACGCTGTCTTGTCCGCTTTCATCAGGGGCCGTCGGTCACCGACCTCACCGTGCCAGCTTTCAACAGCCACGGAAACAGAGCTGAGTTACCCCATGTTAAACCCTGAGGATCGTACGACAGGGTCTGAAACCACGGAAACCTCCAGGCACAGGGGCAACATTATCATTAGTAAAAATCTAAAAATTAACCTGACAAAAAAGCAAAATGTCAGGGGATCAAAACATTGTCCAACAGAACGTCCTGAGATGGTGGAGATGTCCTGTCTGCGCTGCACAGACAGCAGCCACTGGCCACACGTGGCTACTGGGCTTTCTGTAAAATGTGGCCAGTCCACGTGGGACTGAGAAACTGAACTTGTAACTGTATTTCATTTTCATTCATTAAATTCAAGGAGCCACATGTGGTCAGTGGCTACCAAACCGAAGAGCTCTAGAGAAAAGACCTGGGATCTGAATAAAAAGAATCTACCTGCCTAATCTACCTACCTACCTACCATCTGTCACCTGTGCTGTCCTTCAGAGGACCATCGGACAGCTGAAATACATATGCACACATAGAACTGTGTAAGCATGTTACACAAATGTATTTGTGAAATATAAATATGTAATTAGGAAAGCTAGAAGGGAGATTCTTCAGCTTTTCTAAGTGCTCTCAGGAGGGTTTGGTCTGCTATCAGTCCATCGTTACTGGAGACTTTCTCTCCCATTAGAACCTAAATTCCCTAAAACCAGGAGCCATATCTGCCACCTCTGTATCCCCAGGGGCAAGCTGTGACAGACGCCCCTTGGGGTGTGTCCACTCCTCGGGGAAGAAGTGGTTAAAAGTGGCCCAGGATCAAACAGAGGGAGGAACGCGGCACAGAGGCCCGGAGACACAGCGATCCTATCAGCCGTGTGTCTGGAGGTAGCGGGGTGGACAGAAAGAACTTTAGTCAAATCCCCTTTCAGGGGCCTGTGGGAAGCTGGCACTCAGAGAGGTGTGCCACCCGAGAGCCTGGGCTCCTAACCGGAGCAGAGCGTCCACGACTCCCCAGGGAGAGCACGTTCCACAGGCTCTGGCAGACTGTATCCCCTGAGTTCACACCAAGACCCTGTGGCACTGACAACGCCCTCCGGCTGAGGGGCCTCCCGTTCCCTTCCTGGCCTCTGGTTCACTGATGACACTGCCACCTCCGCTGGACCTGCGCTGAAGGACTGAGCTCATCCCATGGGACAGGTGGCCAACCATGTTCAGAGGCCCTTTGCCCAGCACTCTGCCACCTGTTCCCGTGCCCCCAATCCCTTTAAGAAGGAATCCTACAACTACGAAAGCTTAACTGCATCCATAGTTTACATCCAAAATAAGGTGCACCTTTCCCACCCAGACAGCCTTCCAGGACACCGGTGTTGGTGAAGGGGGTGAAGAGGGCCCCGACACAGACAGCGGACTGTGGAGGCCACAGTGAGCAGCAGCAAGGACGTGGGGAAAGACCCCGGGTCTGGGAGACACGCCTTCGTTTCTCTCTTTCTACGGCTGGCCAGGCCAGGCGGAACTAGAGTGTCCTCCAGATTTTCCAGATCCTGACTATATGGCGTGTTGCCCTCACTTAGTGCCCAAAGCTTAAGGTTTCTAAAATTTTAGTGTGCAGGAATATTAATTGGGATTCCTGTTTAAATGGAGATTTCCAGGCGTCACTCAGCTGCGTGACGAGGGGGCACACCTTCAAGAGAAGTCTGAGTCGGCGAAGCCCTGCCTCACACGCTCTCAGTGAGCGTGGGCATCGAGTCCACGGAGACGCGGGGGAGGGAATTCAAGCCACGAGGAGCCAGACCCTGTGCCTCAGCCTCCCCTCCCACCCAGGGCAGGGCCCCGGACTGGAAACTAAACCAATGCNAACTCTGAGACAGCTGTGTGACGAGGGGGCACACCTTCAAGAGAAGTCTGAGTCGGCGAAGCCCTGCCTCACACGCTCTCAGTGAGCGTGGGCATCGAGTCCACGGAGACGCGGGGGAGGGAATTCAAGCCACGAGGAGCCAGACCCTGTGCCTCAGCCTCCCCTCCCACCCAGGGCAGGGCCCCGGACTGGAAACTAAACCAATGCCTCTTCAATCTGATCCAGGGAAAACAAGACCACCACCACCACCTAAGGACTACGCCAATCACACAAGTGCTGTCTACGAAGGACTCGAAACGGACCCCTTCAATAGNGCCTACGGACTACGCCAATCACACAAGTGCTGTCTACGAAGGACTCGAAAAGGGCCCCTCAATAGCGACGTGTCCGCACAGTGAACACGAAGTAACGAGCCCCTTCAGAGGTTACTTCCAAAGGGGGGGCGTCTACAAGGATCGATGTGTGTTCCCGGCAGCTGGCGCAAGCTGGGAAACGAGAGAACATGAGTCAGAGGCCTTCCTCCAAGGATCACGACACCTGCCCCCCCTCCCCCACAGTGCAGCCTTAGAGAGCCTCGCTGCCCTTTATCATTTACCTTGTCCTTTGCCCGCCTCCCCAGGGTGAGTGTCCCCTGAAGGGACGGGAGGGGACTGTACTTTCCTTCACTTCCGGGACTCCTCGGCGCACAACAAGTCATAGTTACTTTGAACAAATGAATGGAATGAACACTGTACTGTATTGGTGGGTCGCAGTGCTGGGACCACAGCGTCATTAGGTTCTGGGAGACAGGGAAGAGGGGCCGGGGCCAGGGCCTGTCCTCGCCAGCCACCTCCCATCACCCCGGTGCCTGCTCAGAAGCAGCAGGAAGGCACCAGCCCACCAGGCCATCAGGGCGGCCTGCACACCACGCTCCGGCCGCGGAGGTGACGCCTGGGGTCTGCTGTGAGCTACTCTACGGCCTCTGAGCTCTCAGTTTCTTACCGAATGGAGGGAGGAAGTCAGTCCTCAAACCCCACGCAGAAGGCGATTCTGAGTTCTTTCAAGCGGAAGGGAGAGGGGCAGAAGTGGACGGCCTGGCCCCCGGCCTTTAGACCTTGCTGCTTTGCACCCAAGGGGAATTCAAACCCGGGGAGCAGACACCATCCTGCCTCCGTTTCCCCAGGCAGCACTGTTCAGACACCAGTGGGAGACAACCACCTACGGGGCCGGAAGGGGTTCGTGGTATGAAATATGCACAAGGAAAGACCCTTCAATAAAATAAAGATGAGTCAAAACCTTTGCTCCAAGTTTTAAAAATTAATATGCTCAGTCCACTGGCCCTTCTTATGCAGTGATGGTTCCCAAGGAAAAAAGTACACGTTGCTGCCCCCGTGTTTATGGCCGGACCAGCATTCTCAGGGAAGGCAACTGCAGCCCGAGACACAGCCCTTCCNTTTATGCAGTGATGGTTCCCAAGGAAAAAGTACACGTCGCTGCCCCCGTGTTTATGGCCGGACCAGCATTCTCAGGGAAGGCAACTGCAGCCCGAGACACAGCCCTTCCCTGCTCTGCTGTCGGCAGTCTGCCTGCTGCCTCCTTCCCTCTTGTCCCTCCGAGACTCAGGCCCAAGGCCGCCTCTCCTGGGGCCTGAACAAAGCCATGCGGGTGAGGACCTCTGAGCCTGGCACCAACGGGGCAGCCGATGAGAAACAGAAACGGTGAGCTTTATCTATTCCAAGTCATTCTTTCCTTTTGCCTTCCCTCTAAGATAAATTCTAAAAAACAAACTGAAAGAGCAAATGTAAACNCGAAAGAGCAAATATAAACCACATTTAACAGCCTTCCCACTGGGACAAGGCAGATGGAAAAGAGGTCTGCATTCAGAACGCAGTCAGCTACAGAATGCAAGGCCGTGTGTCCCCACACAGCAGTTAAGACATTTTGAAACTTAGGGCTTGGTCACTGGCCCTCTCCAAATACAACTCCAGCATCAGTCTATAGTTTTGCTTGCTATTAACTTCCACTCCTTGCTGCCATTAATTAAAATGGGATTTTACCAAAGAGTTTAGGTCACTCATTCATGCTTTCACCCAAAGGAACTGTAGCAGAGCCCTCTGTGTTCCATGCACTGTCAGGTGTGAGGATGCATTTAGGAAGAATCTGGCATGGTGTCCGGGGTCACGCTCCCCGGCCGGGCCACCATGCCAACCTTCCCTGTCATCATTGCCCGCCCTGGCCCTGACCAACCACAAACACACATCCGACTCCATCAAGTTATTCGCAAGTTCCTCTCCCGCCCAGTCCATGCCTCTGCTCAGGCCCTTGGGTCTCCTGGTGAGGCATGGTCCACAACCATCAGAGCCCTCTCACCCTGGGCCCAGCAACCCACAGCCTCCGGGTGACCTTCTCATGTTCCCCCAAGAATGCACCCTTGTCTCTCTCTTACTTCCATGCCGGAGGCACCTTCCCAGATGGCCCTTTCGCACTCTCACTTTATTAGCTACCTCGATTGCGTCTGTAAGATCTATACCCATATCTACATGTCTCCCCCCGAGTCTGTGAGGCTGGGGCCCCCAGGGCGGGAATCGAGCCTCCCACTCTCACGTCTCCTTGGGCAAGTGCAGTGACCACGGGCTCATTAGCCGGCAGAAAGCATGTCTGCTCCACTTACATTTCCAGTCTC